GTCGTGAAATGTGTTTTTCACATCACTAGGGTGGTGAAAACTCCAATATTGCATACGTTAATTCTTCATAAAATACTATATAAAGCGCTCCATCTCTACCAAGCTCATACACATTCGGCAAACTTCAAATTCATGCACTTGTCTTTCAAAACCTATCACCTGTTGTTCCTCCAACTGCACTTCACTTTCTTTGATTTTCCTATTTAATTCCTCCTTCTCCTCAACACTCCTTTCCCCATTGATTCGGGCCACTTTCCTTTCCATCAGTTGACACTCGAAATCTGCATTATAAAGGAGCTCCTGAAAAGGGGATCACTTCGCTTGTTAAACCAATTTACGGTAACAATAATGTGATTAAAATATATTTTCTATTTTGAAAACCATCAGTGAGTACCACAACTCGCAAATCGCGAAAAAAATCGAATAATTTTACGTGATTTTTACAAACGTAAAAGAAATTTAATAATTTCATACTAACACCACATACAACAACTCTAGGAAAAAAATTATACTTATAAAAATCACTCGGAAAAATACAAAACAGCTTCCCGACAGACCTGTTGTCGCTGACGCTCTGCATCAACCTTGGCAATCCTGGCCTTCACATTCTTTATCGCGCTCAACAGTCCCGAAATTTCTCCCATTTTGGTCCGCTCGTTCTCTCGCTCTACCAGCAATCCAAAGGTCCCCGGTTCGATCCCCACCGCCGTCATTTCTCACCTTTATAAAGTTCCTGTTGAGCTTTCAACAACTCCTCTTTTGCCAACTTCAATTGCAACGACAATTCCCCGGCCCTTTCAACCGCTTGGCTGTGCATCCGTTCAGCTTCGATCGCCATTTGCTCCTGAGATAATTTCGTGGCGCAGTGACAAAACTACCAATCATGATGGAGTTTCACAACTACCCGTTTTACGTGAAGTGGCGATATTCGCGGTGATATGCAGTAGTCGTAAAATATGTTTTTCACTAGTGTTTTTCACATCACTAGATAAAACTCAATGCCAATCTCACAGTTTCGGAGGAATATATATTC